CAGACAGGGTCACTATGTGGCCCAGGCTGGCCCTGACCTCTCTATGTAGTCTAGGCTGGCCTCAAATGCACAGTGATCCTCCTGCCTCAGCCTCCTAAGTGCTGGGATTGCAGGGGTGTGACATCATACTCAGCCAAAATGCTTTTTGTGTGTGTGTGTGTGTGTGTGTGGTAGTACAGAGGATTGAACCCAGGGCCTTGCACATGAAGGCAAGCACTCTACCACTGAGCTACACCCCCAGCTGGGCTAATTTCTTGAAAAATCACAAGCTAGCAAAACATAAGATAAAATAGATCATCTGAATAAACCTCATAACCATTGCAATGGACTGAATGTTTATAACTTCTGTCCACAAAAATCACACATTGAAATCCTAGCCCCAGAGTGAGAGAAGCAGGGACTATGAGATATAATTAGTTTGCCAGATTAGTGTCCTTACAGAAAGAACCCCAGAGTTCTCACTCTTTCCCCATGTGAGGGTATAAGAAGTTAGCAGTGTGCAGCCCTGAAAAATGAAGTAGCCAGAACCCAACCCAGTATGGCACTTTGTTATAGTGGCTCAAAGTGAGACATTTAAAAATTCAAATTCATAATTTCAAAGTTCCTTAAAAAGAAATCGTCAGGCCCAGAAAACTTTACTGGAGAGTTCTATTTTTATTTGTTTTTTGGTTTTGTTACTGGGAATCAAACTCAGGCCCTTACACTTGCGAAGAAGGCAGCAGAACCACTAAGCCAAATCCCTGGCCCCTCTATTAAACATTTTAAAAACGGCAATCTTGCACAATATCTTCCAGAATATAAAAAGTAATGCTGCTCAACTAATTTTGGCTAATATTACCCTAATAACAAAACCAAACAAAAATAGTAGAAAAAAAGTAAAGCTTCAAGAGGCCAGGCATAGTGGCAAACACCTGTAGTCCATGCACTCTGGGAGGCTGAGGCAGGAGGATCACAAGTTCAAGATCAGCCTGGCAGGAACCTGTCTCAAAATAAAAAAATTAAAAAGGACTAAGGATGTTTGCAAAGGCTCTGGGCTCATTCACCACAAAAAGTACTACAAAAAAGGGAAAAAACTAAGATGTTAAAATCTTTAAGAAAATAATGGAAATATTAGCAATTTGAATCCAGCAATATACAAAAAGAATTACATGCTATTATCCACATCTCAGATTTTTTATCACAGATTTTTTAAACAATCAACCTCTAGTCCTAACAGCTGCAGATATATCTTTATTCTTAACAACAAGAAGGTACTACAGCCAAGATCTCAACCTATTTAAGTTCAGCTCATACACTGGAAACATTCTCACTCATCCCTCCTTTGAGATCCCTGCAAATTGCAGAACTATACGAGATATAAATAGAAAGAAAGCAACAGCTTAACTGATTATGGGTGAAAAATGATGACTAAATATGCATATTTCCTACTTTATTGCTTGCTATAAGAAAAAAAAATCTCTTGTGATTATCCATGCTAATGAAGAACAAAATAAAACAGATGATCCATGAATCACTTCCTTCAGGATGATGACTTGATTTTATTCTCCAAGAAAATTATCTTTTAAATAAATCTAACACAGATTAATGATAAAAAGTATTAAATATGAGAAAAGGAAAAAATGGAAACAAAGTCTTTGTAAATAGGGAGGGGTGGAGGAGTCGAAGGGAGGTCAGGGGAATGGGGAAAAATAAGAGCCAAGATATGTCATGTAAAGGTACAAGTTCCCAATGATAAATATAAATGTACTGTATACCTAAAATGTACCAATAAAAAAATTTAAGGAAAAAAGATAAAAAATTATTTCCATCCTCTGAGCAATAAACTGGTAGCTTAAGATTTAAGATGGCCTAGGAAACTGGCAGAAGATAAACGAGGAGAAAGCCTTAGCTGCAATGATACATCCATTTCAATATCTATCGTTTATGGCCATATAAACACAAAATCTAAAGCTTGTAATCAAGCAAAATAAAACTGGCCCATCAACACAGAATTATATATTGAAATGGTGATTATGAAAGACACAAACTGCCATATGGTTGAATTACATGCTACCCTCTTTAAGAAGCATTTCTGTTCATGATATAAGGAAAGAATCCAGTCTTACCCTGAGTACAGAGCCAACACACCTTCTTCTTTATAGATTCGGAACAAGGCATGGAACATTCCTCTGTATTTTATCTCTTTGAAACGAACATCAATGCTTTGGCCTTGTACTTGAAGTCGTGTTTTGGTAAGGTCCACAGGGAAAGTTCCTATAAAGGAACATACTGACTTCTAAGTATTTCCAAAGAGTCATGATCTCTACTAGAATACCACCACCAGAGGACAAGAGTTGTATGTTATAAAGTAAAATGCAATATATTGTACCTAGGCAGCACACTTTGGCCCATCCCATACTTGACAATGTGATATATAAAGTGCTTTAAGATGATTCTAATACATTATAAATGTAAAATAAATGTTTTAATTTCACCCATAACATTCAATATGGCATTTCATCAGTCTCTTACTCACATCCCTCAACTCTTCCCACCTCTCCCTTAAAATGTCCCCAAATTTTCACAAACAGGAAATCATAGGCTTGTTGCACCACACGTTCTTATATAGTACTAAAACATTTGTAGGGGGTTTTAATCTGAGTATAAGAAACAAACAGCTCTGTAATATTATAAAAGATAATGGCAATAGCCTATTTGGTTCTACTAATCCCGATTTCCTAGATAATTCAATTTTTTGATTTTTTGCTTTTTGTGGTTTTTTGTTTTTGTTTTTTTTTGGGGGGGGGTACAGGGATCAAACTTGGGACTTGGCACTTGCAAGGCAGGTGGCAAAACCACTGAACTAAATCCCTGGCCTGATAATTCAGTTTTAATAGTCAAAAAAATGCTTGGAGAATAAAATTTCCTTAACCAAACCTCTTTTTCTTATGTCAATACACAGAAGTAGTCATTATACTGACAAAATATATTCCAAGGAATATATCAAAGTTTAAATTAACAAAGTGATTACATAGTTCTGGTCACCTGTGACCTAGATATAAGAATAACAGAGGATACACCAATAAAGTAAATTAAGTTTGGTAGAGTGCAGTCACTTATGAATAGTTCAGGAAAGAGAAAATCTGGAAGAGGAAAAAATTGTATTCTAAAATATTTCAAAATTAAAATCAAACAGAAGAATCTTATTCAATTTTGTTAGTTTTCTTCTAAAACAAGACAGAGGTTTACAAAAGACGATTAGATACTTAAAGAGTTATAAACAATTGCATTTTAAAAAGCCCATTAGGGGCCAGGGATTTAGCTCAGTGGTTCCGGCACCTGCCTCGCAAGCACAAGGACACAAGTTCGATCCCCGGTACCAAAAAAATAAAAAATAAAAAAGCCCATTAGTACAAGAATACAGTAGAAACCCGTCAGATCCAACTTTCTATATTTTCACATACATTACTTAAGCCTAGCAAATTAACAAATCACCAAACTAGCAAAAAAGCTTACAATGTTTTACCAACAGTTTTCTTAACTTCATTTGCTGTACCACTGAAAGTACTTTCTCAGAAATATTATTTGAAAGTTTTGAGATAGTAATTTTTTAAACAAAAGGGGAAAACCTCATTATTTTTCTCTAGTTTTCACCAAAAAAACCCACTGCATTATACAGCATCTATATCATAAAATGTGGACTTGTCATTTTTTCACATTCTTACCAAACTCAGCAACAATAGAGGCAAGGCCGCCATATACAAAGGGTTTCCAATTCAGACCAGACATCTCATGGCTTACAGTAGAACTTTTCTGGTGCTAAAAATAAATGCAAGTCAGAACAAGGCACAAAAGTGAGAAGCATTTGTTAGCATTTGAGCATATAATGAGCATATAATTTAGATCAATAAACTTTACAAACAAAACAGATGCAGAGGAAAAATTCCACAAATGGAATGACGCTAAATGAGATCCTGTTTTAATGTGCTGGGTGATCATGAATCTGTCTGTTCTTTACTAACATTCCATAGGGGTATGTGTGTGATTGATTCAAAGATCAATTCATGCCTTTCACTCTCTCTAGTTTCTTCAATGTTTTACTCATCCCTACCCAAAGAGACCACTCTATCCAGCACACTCAACATAGAATACAACTAGGCAATTCCAGGGGAAGGAAGCCAGAATTCAAATTATATAGGCTGAGGCATCTCATAAAAGCAGTTCATGGCATGCAGTTCGCTTGATTCAGGTGCAAACACAAGCTCACATCACTACCCCCTCATGTTCTTAGCCCTCTCATCTCTCCACTAAATTTTAGGGTTGGATTTCATCCAAGAGCTGCCTCTAGCTACATACAACTATGTGCTGACTAGGCCCAGGCTGAGCGAACTATCTCTTATACATTCTGGCTCCCAGACAAATGACAGCAATGTGAATGATACCTCTTCTCTCTGATATTTAACATTCATCCATCTAGTGGAGCTTCTTTCCTTCCTCCTTGCCTTTTAAAAACACATACAAACAAATAGCTCTTTTATCATTTTTTCTGCTCTCAGTTTACTTTTCCCCGTCCCCATGCCACCCCCATTAAGCTTTCCATCTTCAATCTTTTTAGCTGTCTTCCCTTTTTCTGTCATTCCCAGCCCTTCCCTCTTGGATTTGATTTGTCCTCAATTCTGGCCTCCAGATGAATAATTTTCAAATATTAGCAGATTTTAGCAAATTGGACCACAATCATGTAGAATGTGTATTAAAACACAAACTGCTAGCCTCTCTACTAGAGTATCTGACTGGTAGTGTGTCTGGTCCTGAGAATTTTCAAGTTCCCAAATAATGCTGATATTTGTACATTTAAGAATTAAAGCTCTAAACTGGGCACACCTGTAATTCCAGCACTTGGGAAGCTGAGGCAGGAGGATCGCTGTGAGTTCGAGACGAGCCTGGACTACAGAGTGAGTTCCAGAGCAGATTGAACTACATAGTGAGACCCTGTCTCAAAAAACCAAAACAAACAAACAACAAAAAAAAAACTAATGCTCTAGCCATCACATGCTAAATCCTGGCCCACCTGAAAGTACTATCTTCTCTTGGAATGGGCTCTCAGATGTCCTTTCAACATCCCTTTTTCATAGTGTCACAGTATAAATACTTCTAAATTTCAGGAGCAACTTCAAGTGGTTTGTGATCAGGAAGCAAAACTCTGAAGTCAGATTACCTAAATTCAAATCTTCCTGTATCACTTGCTAGTTCTGTTACTTTGGGCAAGTTATTCTATCTCCCTATGCCTCCATTTTCTGGACGATAAGAATAAAAAAAACTACATTATATGGTAGTTGTAAAATTAAATAATATACACATAATATGCCTAGAAATGTGTGACACTTAGCTCAATAATTATTATCAATACATTTCTCAAATTTACATTTCGACAGTACTTGCTGACTACCTCCCCACTGTCAATCTAAGGTTAGCATATTTGAGTCACAATTTCTTTTTGGAAGGAACAAGGTTTGGTTTTGTTACTACATGAGAAATTCTCTGTAACTAAGCAAAAAATAATTTTCTAGAGAGAATATCAAACAGGCAGGTGGCTGTTTTAGTTACAGGCCACAAAAATAATTTTGAAAACTTCCTTTCAAGAATATTACATACAGGGCTGGGGTTTAGTTCAGTGGTGCCACTGCCTACCTCAAAAGAATAAGGTGCTGAATTCAATCCCCAGTACCAAAACAACAACAACAACAACAAACACTACATACAGAATGTGGAAAAAAGACCCCTTTTGAAATCAAGCTGTTTAAAGAAATTCTAAAAGCAAAGCAGGATTGGATAATATAAATATCAGCTACAGCCTAAAATACGTCTTAAATACTAAATACTACCTCATCAATATTCTTAGCTATGCCTACGTTTTAAGATTATAATAGTAAAACATGACACCCATGGTGGGAGAGTAGGGATAGGAAAGCAGGACCATGGCACATCCCCTGAATTTATGGGGAAAAAAATCACTCTCTATTTATAAATGTAAATATCTCTTGAAATAATCTTAAATGTTGCAGACAGCTCCTATGCTTTTGCCCAGAACTTTCTTTTACTTCTTTCAGCTCTCATTACAGAGAAAGCATCTATCAGACTTTACTACCTGCTATCTAGCTTTTCAATAAGGAAGATGTGCTCAGAGTTCAGGGAGCAATAATGAATCATGAAAAGCAGGGTGCAGAGCCATAGTAGGGAGCAGAAAGATTAGTCACTTAGGCCAGTTAGAACAAAGGTTCCTTAATGAAATTTACATAATTCCAAGGTGATATGAAAAAAATGTAGGCATCAGAACCTTTTTCAGCTAAATGCATTTGAAGTACTACTTATTTTTAGATCATATTATTCTTACGCCTGGAGCATTAAAAAACACATTTCTTGCGCCAGGGATTTAGCTCAGTGGTTCCGCTGTCTCCCTCCCAAGCGCAAGGACCCAAGTTTGATCTCCAATACCAAAACAAACAAACATACAAAAAACCCCACATTTTTTGTATGAAATAACAGTGGTTAGTATTTGATTTTGTTTACTGTCATACTTGGCAAAATACATTTGACTATATTTCTGGCCCCCAAAATCCAAGTCTGGAAACTACTGTCCAAATCTAACACTGCCCCTACTGGCATTTTACACTTGAACCTCTTTTACTCCAGCTTTAGAAAAGAATACTGTATTATGAACAAATCTTGTATAATTTTTCATCAGGTCTCACTTTTAACAGTCCTTCCTCATACTAGGCCAAAAGTCTGTCTTCTTTAATTTTCACCCAGTCTTTGGAGGCACTAGAATAAATGTATTCTTTTTCTCTAGAGGACTCCTTTAAATATTTAAAGAAAACTATCATGTATATCAGGCTAAATATTCTTGTTTATTTTCTTCATTGTATATATTTTAGTTCAAATACTACAGCTGAAAATTGAAGTTGCTTTCTAGGGGGCTGTATCACACTTCTGAATCATTAAATTGAGCTGCTACCTCTAAGTCTTTTTAATAAGGCTCTATACACACATGCATATTATGTCACATCCATGCAATATTTTTTGAACTTTAACTTATAAAACTCAGGCATAAAAAAATAAAGATTTGGATGAGGTTTATCATCTAGTTGCACCAGGTTATTTTCCCTCTTAACCAAGTAAGATCCCTGCAGATAGACACTATAACTCACAATGTTTTTATAACCCTGAGCTGGGGATTTAGCTCAGTGCCACTGCACCTGCCTTGCAAGGAAAGGGTCATGAGTTTGATCCCCATACCCCCCAAAAATATATATATATATATATATTTATTTATAACCCTAAGAATAATAGCTTATACAGATTTGAGTGCACATCCACAAAATAGCTGGTTTTCCTGTGTGATCTCCTTTACCTACATATTCAACCTGTATATAAAAGATTTCAGGGGAAACCAGAAAAGTAACTTTGTGGACCTGGCCAATGCTAAACACACTGTACACAACACTGCCCTGATCCCCAGATAGGCTCTACCTATAAATTCTCTTCTCTTGCTTTGGTTCAGAGAATTACTTGTGTCAAATACCCCAATGTCTCTTAAAATGATTGACTTGAGGGGGGAGGGAGCTAATCCCAGATATGGATAAAAAGAGAGATCATATGTAAGTTAAAATAGAAATATAGCACTGTAAAATATTTTATTGTATAAAGAATCCAATAAAAATCATCTTCAAGGGAAAGCCTTGGGTACTAGAAACAAGGAAAAAAATCTTCAAAATACAAACATGTATTCTGAAGGTCTAAAGAAATTTTGATAATCTAACAGTAAAAATGTCCCACAATACAAATTAAATAGCACTACACTACTCCAAAGACCTAGCAAGGAAACTATGGGGGCCTTGTTTACTCCTCTAAGAAAAAGGAGGTATTAGAGTCTCCGATTCAGAAGGTAGAGAGCCAACAAATATTTACTGAAGGCATACTAAATGTTCACACCTGCAATAATCATGATGTTTTAAAAAACACAGAAATATGTTCTAACACCAAGACAATATTTGCCATCCAACCTAGCTTCCCTAGATAAGGAGATGGAGTTGTATAAAACATGGTACTTGCCTTTTAAGAGCTTATAACATGGCAGAAGAAAGCAAAGTACTGAATATTGTTAGAGAAAAATTAAATGCTACACTATGTATTATAACGTAGGAGAGCAAGGAGAGCACAAGAAGGGAAACAATCAGCATGAGCATGAATAATTTGAAAAAGCTTATGGAGGTGAGAGAATTTAAACTGGGACTTGATAGAGGGCAGGATGACTCTGAACAGGTGCAAGCAAGGGAGGACGTAGAGGAGGTGACAGGATGAACAGAGACTCAAATATGGGAATAAACAGAGTGCAGAGGTAAGCATCAATATGGTTTGTGCTGAGAAGTAAATGAAGAAACCAACTTGAATGGAGAATTAACTTGTTGGCTAACACCAGTATTACAAGGAGTAGGTTATATCGAAAGGGTTGAAACCAAGGTGTATCGGGGGGTTATATAATTTTTATAGAGACGTGACTTCAAGAAATCCACCATATTTAATTATCTTACTATGGATGCAGCACACACAATGGATGACAAACAGTTGAGGCAGGAAGACTGGCTTAGGATGGTGGAGAGTAAAGCAGGTAAGGATTCTTGTTGGCATTGAGGTTAGGGGTAAATTTCTGAAATGGAGACAAAATGATAAGTACATCATTAAGTAATGGGGTATGGAACGAAGATGAGAGAAGTGTTCACGACTCTAAGCATCTCTAGCCTGACAGAAAACTATAAATGTCCCTTCTGCTACCTTGACTGAAACGATTTTATGTTGATAATAGCTGTCATCCCAATCAAGCAAGTGAACTGCATTTTAATAGATGCCATCATCAGCTTTGTGACATCAGGAGTGGCAGGGGGAGAAACTGAAGGGGGGCATCTTTCAACAGCATCCCTCACACTAATACAATGGAGGTGTTTGCTTACTCCGCTTACAATCACGGCCGCCGCTGCAAACTTCACCCTTAGAAAAATTAGGATTATTCCAGGAAAGATACCCATTCACCCTCTGGGTAGCAGGATCTTGCCAGTTCCTCAGCTGTCAGAGCGAGTTCTCGGGGAGAAGGGAGGCGCCTGAAGGAGGCGTCCTCCCGGGGGGTCGAGGAAGCAGGGCTCAATCCAAGAAGTAAAACCACCGACGCCAGAAGAGTGAAAGACAGTGAAAGGACTCGGCTGAGGGGAGAGAGAGACCAAAGGACCGTTAAGCCCCTCCCAGGGCCGGGAACCAGGCCAACCAGGCCGGGTGCCGCGAGGCGCGGCCCAGCCCCGCTCCCCAGCCTAGAAGTCCAGGAGCTCCCTCTCACCTGTTCGGGCTCTTCTGACGACTGGGAAGCCAAGGCTCCTACAGTCGGAAACGCCACCGCAACCGCAACCCGGAAGCATTGATACCAGCGGAAGTAACCAAGGCATCGCCTCGGCAACGGTGGCGCAGAAGAGCTAGCTCCGCCCCCTCCAAGACTGAAAAAAGAAGGCGCGAAATAAGTGGCAGCTTCTTGGGTCAAAAGGTGGTTCTTGGTGGCTTCAGGAGCCGGGAAAGATAAGGACGCAAAGGCTCACAGAGGGCGAACTGACTTTAGGGAAGTATAGGGGAAGGGAGCTAAGGGGTGAGAATTGGACAGCATCTGCAGTTTCTCTACTCGCCAGCGGGGGCAGAGGTGTTGCTTTGTCACCGCGTTACCCACCTAGCACGTACAAGACTAGGAGAGGCAAAGCGAGAAGCGCCAGGCGAGTCACAGGGCACCAGAGGAAGGGAGAGCAGAGGGGTGGAGGAAGGCGCCAGGG